CCTTCGAAACAGTTTGTGTGTTTCCCTGAACATGTTTCATTTTGAAATATGCCACCACCTTCCCTTTTAAACAAAACACTGACCAGCTCCACATAAGGCTGAGGGATTCATTTACTACATTTACTTCTTGCCTTAAACTATTTATGACGGAAAAACCTTCCTCTCAGTGCTCAAGAAGACTTTCAGTCATTCAATAATCCTTCCATCCTCTCCAAACACGTGCACTGAGGATTTCCCAAAAAGCCATGCAGTGGAACTGGAAGGGAAAAGTAATTTTCTTCAGCTCCTCCCTGCAGTGAGCACTTTAATGTCATGATATGACCTCTGCAGACAGACAAAAATCCATCCCAAAGTTTTAATGATACTCATTATGCAGCATCAGATAAATAACAGTAAAAGCTGAAGAGACCACGTCTCCACAAACAGATTTCATAAAAAACTAGAACTTCTGGTTTCAGACAGAATATATATTTAGAATATCTGTGCAAGAGGTGAATATGTACAATAAATATATCTTGTTATATCAACTATAGTCACAGATTTTTTTCTAATTAACTATGCAATTGTAGAGGTGTATCAGGAAGACATATTTCTGACTGACATTTCTTTCGTTGTAATATGGGAAAATATAATCGAATTCTTCCTGCTGCTACAGCTTCAGGATGTCTGGCACAGCTGAGAATATGTCAGGATTTAGAATAGATTATTATATTTTAGTATAAATTTCATTTTAATGACAAAGTCTTTATTGGACTTCTGGTGGGAGAGCTAAGGAACACGGGAGATTTCTTCCTAGGAAATGCTGAAAGGCACATAAAAATTTTAATATATACTCAATAATATGTTAAATATGAGATTCTGAGTATTTCTTTAGGGCTACTTTTTATTAAAATTAGCAGCTGCTTGCCTGTTGGCTCTATGGAAAAACATTTCATGTCTCTGTAAAGGGGTGATGCTTCTGCATGAGCAGACATCTGTTCATTCAAGTGGTACATTTTCCCCTCACATCTGCTGAAGCAACAAAGAGTGTGCACTTATTCTGTTGTTTTCTGGGACTCTGAGGCACACACATTCACAGCAAAAAGTTGCTTGCAAGTGGTAAAAGGTTAAAAAAAATTTAATTTACCTGAAATTATGTATACGTATTGAGAATGAGTAGGACAGTTTCAGTTTTATGCTCATAAATAATATGCTTAGCTAGCTGAAATTCCATTTACAGTCAATAGTTCTGCTTCCTTTTAGGCTCCCTAATAATTAGGGTAAATTTCCAAAATAGTGCCACGAAAGGCATGGAATCACATGCAAAAAAACCTGCCAGTTCAAGTGGGAAGCAGCAAACATCCCTGTCAGACATACAGTACAACTTGACTGGCTGTATAAATTAACATTATAGTGCACATACAATAACATGGCACGTCCCATAAAGCTGCAGCTTTGCACCAGAAATGCCAGACACACTTTTACATCTGCAGAGATATAAGCAGTGAATAATTCCCTTCAGAGTGAAGCACAGGACCCAAGGATCATGGCCTTGCCTAAACCACTCTGGAATCACTTGGAAAGGGAGGTGCCATGAGCTCCATCCATGCAAATAAAAATACAAAGAGGTGACATGTTTCCAGCAGAAGGTTGGCTTGAAAATCTTCAGATATTTTACTTTGCTTGTGAAAGTTCTTTCTGCTGAACAACATTCTTCAGAAATAGGATTTTAAAAAGCGGTTTTGCTCATGCTCCCATTAAAAGGATGGGTGTCCTGCCAACTTAAAAATGGTTAAAAATGTGGTTTTTTTCTCCTCAAAGTTTATGTAAATATTATATAAATATCATTTGATATTTTCATTTCATCTCCATTTATCACAATGCTTCCAGCAAGCCACACATAGATGGCATCAGGTTGAAATCTAAGGGACTGGAAGCTACAGGAATGCTGCCAAGGGACAAAACACTCATGGCCAGTGCAACCAAAACATGTGGTTGGAAATCTGAGTGAGTCTTGTTTGGAAATAAATTCATGTGATAGAACAGCAAATGTGTAATTGAAGGGGTGCAACTGTGGCACATACCACTGATAATTTCTATTAAAACACTTAAATCTTCTTCCACAGAGCTCATCAAGAGCATCCTCCAGTCAAAGCTGCTGGTGCAGCCTCACCTTTCCAGCTTGGAAAAGGAGCTGTTCCTAAATGCTTCCAGAAAGGCCATGTCTGTTACTGGGCTTGCATGTATGTTACCCATAATCTGGGATCAAGTCCAAGCCCCTGAAGTTCCTCACAAAATTCAGGTTTAGGTCAGGCTGAACTGTTTGAAAGCTCAGGAGAACTGTTTTACAGGACATTCTTCTGGTGTTCTACAGCCCCTAAAGTTTTAATATTCAGATCTGTCTGTGGCAAAGGCAGCCACAAATAAAAGAACAGTAACATCTTAACAGTGTTGTAAAGCCATAGCCCAATTCTGACTGCAAAATTTCAACCAGGAACAACAGTAATTCCACCTAAATCGTGATAAAAAATAAAGGGTAGTACAACAACCTCCCAGTGTACTCGGTGCATGTAATCCACTTGGGTATCCCAAACTGAAAGAGTTTAAGCCACAGGTGTTAGAAGGAGATTTTAAAAACTTTTTAGAAACCTTTAGAAAATTTTCAGAGACCTGCAGATGCTGCATAAATCAAATGACAATGAAAACTGCCATTCACTGGAAAATAATTTTGGAGTTGTGGAATCATTCACTGTTAAAAATGGTCTTAGCCCTGTTTGTGTTTCTAAAGCCATTGAAACAGTAAACAGGAATCTTGTTAGAACTTCATGAGCAAAGTTGCAGCATCAGTTGATCTAAAATGCAGAGAAACTACTTTTTTCTCCAAGCATTTTAGTCTGTCCAACCATCCAGCTGTTGGTTCACTCTTTGGGTGAAAAAGGCCGAGCAAAAAGTGCTTTGGAAAGCTCTAACACATAAATAAAAGATGTTTTGCTGTATTTCTACAGATTTCAAAGTGCTTTCAAATGGAGACAGGTCCTTTTCCTTCTCTCCAGTATTAAGGCTCTTATAAAAAAATATAATTTCAACTAAAAGACACTTGGGCTTTTTTTAATCAAATACACCATTTCATATGCTTTAATCACGAGCATTTTAAGACCCTAGTTGTGCAATTCTAGCTTTATATCCATGTTCTAGCAACTTATAGGATTACTGTATTACAAGATGGGGACCTTAATATTCTAAAATGTGAAATCCTCAGGAGATGCTGACAGTACATTTCTCTTATATTCTGTTTCATTAAAAACACAGGGATTAGAAAACTGCCTGGGAAATTAAAACCAAGTTACCAGTACTACAGAAAGCAGTCTTGCTATTACTTCCATTAAATCAGAGACAGTGATCCAGAGAAATTAAATTAAATACTCTTTTCCCATCAACTTTCCAGTCCTCTTTTTCCCCCAGAATTTAGAAGTTTAATTATTCTGACTGAACCAAACCCTCAGGAGACAAAAGTGCTCTCAATTCCCACCGAAGTCAAAAGGTTCTGTGAGAACTCATTACTCCAGACATTACTCAAGCTGCTTGGGACACTTAACTCTTTCAAGGAACATGAAAATGAAGTTAAAAATCACATTTCACTCATTAACAACGTACAGAAGATCCAAAACCTCAAAGGCCTGACCTGACAGCCCTTCAAAACCAGCAGATCACACTGACATTGCTTTTGCCACTCTCAGAAGTTGTATTTGCAGAGGTTCCTCTCCTGCAAACACACATACACCTCAATCCTGGAAAATTAGCACCCAGATTTGGCACCAGCACAACCTGTACTCAGCTGAACTCCCGAAAATTCGAGTTTTAAGAGGAAAATGCTATGTTTACTGCTAATATAATTTAAAAACATATTTAAAACATACCTTTGAAGGCAGAAGTCAGCATACTCCGTGATTTCTATTGGTGTATTTTCATATGGCAAGGTGCAACTTTCTTCGATTTGTCTGACTAAACTTTGCCAGATTTGTCAAATCTGTTCCTTACTGAAATTATTATGAAAAATTTGGAGCACTTAATTTTTCAGAAAGGAGGTCCCTGCCCTGACACACCTTAAGAAATTAAGTTAAACCGTCAACAGGACTAAAAATGAAAGTGTTGCTTGTGATGCAGACCAGAGTTATGATTTAACTCTTGCAGTCTCCAGTTCCCTCGGTGCAATCCCACAACTTTCCCGCTGACCTGAACACAAGCAGCTTTACGGGCCCAATCCTACAGAAACAAACACCAGACCCTGCCAACCCCTTCCACCAACGTACCACACGAATCCTGAACCAAAACACTTTCTTTTGAAAATCTCCCCGTGAGTGACATTTCAGTTAGGCTGTGACGCTATTTTTTTTTCTTTCTAAGTGTGTTTAAATACATGAAATAGGGGTCAAAATTTAAAAAAAAAAAATCTTTGCTTTAAACCAAACATTTTTACAGCATGATGAAACACAGCTACACCTTGGGGCATCCCTGCTCTTGTCCTTTTGGGTTGCAAACTCATCTGTCCCTCAGCCCTCCATTATGAGGCCTTTAACCCCAAACTGACACGGGAGGGTGAGCGCAGATCCAGCCCCTCGCCGGAGCCGGGCTTTGCTTCAGCAGGATTAGGCAAATGGGACGGCTGGAGGGATGCCCTGTGACCCTGCCCTCCGTGTCACCTGCTGAGCGACAGCAGCCGCCTCCGGCACCTTGGAAGCCTTGTGCATGCCATGGATCCCGGTCCCGGCGCGTCAGTCCCGCCCATCCCAGAGCCCCCCCGGCGAGATGCTTGCTTTGGGTGGCCGCCAAGCGTCGGCGGACTGAGGGGAACCCGCCGCCCACCACCCCCGTGAGGCGAGCGAGGGTCCCCCGGCATCGCCAGCGACCCCGGAAAGCCAAATCACCCCGCCGGGCACAGAACTCGGGAAAAGCCCTCCCGGCGGCTCTCTGGGAGGCGGCGGGGCAGCCCCCGGGCGGGGGGATCCCCCCGGCCCCCCGGCTCAGATGAAGTGGATCCAGGCGGAGCTGTCGGGGTCCTGCGGGAGGCCGGTGCCGGGCGGGAGGACGCTGCCGGCCCGCAGCCGGTAGTTCTTGCCCTCGATTTGTGTGTCCCAGTACTCGGCCGCCGGCCACGCGGTACCGGACGGCGAACTCGAGCGTGGCCTCGGCGGCGCAGCGCCCAGAGGCAGCAGGAAGGCGAAGCGGTCGTTGATGCCGTCGGGCGGCCCGGGCGGCTGGTACGCGGCGGGAGCCTCCGCGCAGCTGGCCCAGCCATTGAGCGTGTACCGCACCGACACCACCTTCTCGTAGGCGAGGTTGAGGACGCGCACGGCTCCGCGCAGCCCCGCGGGCTCTGCCCGCACCCACTCCAGCCTCACCTTGTGCTGCCGCACCCGCTCACGAAGCCCGAGTGGCTTCCGGGCTGCGGCGGGAACAGCGGCTCCAGCAGCGGCGGCGGCGGCCCCGAACAGCACCGGGCTCCAGGTCGGCCCAGCGCGGCGGCTTTCCTGGTTTGAGGCAGGTCTGCGGGCGCGCGTGGGCGGCGGCGGGCAGCGGCACCCGCGGCAGGCGGCCTCGCAGAAGAGGTGCACGGAGGTGAGCTCAGCCCAGGGAGTCGGCAACCGCACGTCTTGCGGCGCGACGGAGCTGCTGCTGCAGCGGGGGCGCAGGCTGCGTTCGCCCGGAGCGTGGGCAGCGACTTGGCCGCGGCGCTGCGTGGGGCTGGGGGGCACGCGGGGGCAGCGTGGGCTCCCGGCCCCGCGTCGCGCGGCTTCTCGCCCGCCGCCTTCCCGCACCACGGGCTTGGGCGCCGGGCGTCGCCGTCGGGGCTGCCAGCCCCCCTGCACAATGCTCGGCCAGGCTGCCATAGAGGCAGGCGCTGCAAGCTGAAGTTGCGCGGCAGGTAAGAGCCGGGCGCGGCGCGGCACCGAGCGGTGCAGCGAGCCCGCCTTATCCGATGGGGCGCCGGCGGGAGCGGCGGCGGGCCGGCGCTGGCGCGGCACCCCGGCGTCCTCCCTCTCGTGGCGGGTGAGCGAGGCGGCTCAGCGCCCGGTCGCGGGCTTCTGCCGGTCGCCGGAGCCGGCGGGATCGCCTCGGACGCTGTGCAGTCGCGGCCGGCCCGGGGGATGCCGGCGGGTGCATCTTGTGCGGGGGGCGGCGGCGGGGCCGCCGCTGTCCGGCCTGCCGCTGCTGCCGTGCCGGCGGTCAGGCAGCGGACACACGGCCCCGAGCATCTTCCTGCCCATGGCTCCACCCCTGCCCGCCTCGCCACGGCCCCTGAGCACACCCCGCGGCTACCCCCAGTACCGCGGCTACGCCGTCCCTCTCCTCCTCTTCCTCCTCCGCCTCCTCGCTGCGTTCTGGGTCTTTCCTCGAGGATCTCATCCAAAAAGAGGAGGCGGGAGGGATTCCCCAGTGGAAACATTAAAATTCATAGCGGCGCTCTCGCTCGCCCGACCCGCTACAGAAATAGCTGCGGGAGAAAAGAGGCAAAGCCGGGCTCGGGGAGATTACACGGGCCGATAAGAAACAGCTGGCTGGCAACTTGGATCTCGCAGTGTACATTTAAAGGAAGAAATCCAGCTAATCTGCTGTAATGCGTTTACTGTACATCTGCCCAATAAAATGCACCTGCCGCAGTCCTGCCGCTCATCGCCCCCGAGCAGCTCCGGCCGAAACGCGGGGGGACGATTGTGACACAGAAACCCCGGCGGTTCTTGTCGGAAGAGCGTTTGGCAACTGCCGAGCAATATCCAGCTGAATTACAGTTTAATGACGAGCAGACTCTGGTGTAGCCAGTTCAAGGCGCTAAACCACCATTTTAGTAAGCCGCTTCATTCCAGACTTTCCGTAATCTGGGACTCATTTTTAATTAGTAAATTGCATTAAAAACAATGATCCAACCGTCCTGCCAGAGCCTGAGCCTGAACTGTGTTGACATGTGATTCTGATTTAGCTTCTGAGCAGGAGCTTTTTACACCTCGAGCATTTTATCTGCAGCACTTGGTGTTCCTTTGACAGTCTGGGCAGTGGAAATGCGGCTGATGAGATTAAGAACGGGACAAATAAACCCGATAAGGACCAAGTGCTAAAAAGCCACTAGAACACAGGGAAGAGTTATTCGCTGCCTCCTATTAGAACTATCAGCTTTAATTCCTTTACTAATAAGTATGAAAAAAAATCCTAGATTATTGCTGCTGGGTTCCAAATGTTTTTAATGACAGATGGTTCATAAGCAGGGGATAAAAAATTCTGCTCATCAGTGTTAAATTTGACACCATTAAGCTTTGTCGTGCCATCGTCTCACATTCATAGGCTGATCATAGGTTTTGAAAAATCAAATACGAATAACATAAATAATTACATCTGAATTCATTAGCCCAGGATCTTAAAATTGTCTCATTTGTCCTTTAACGCCTCACAGAAATTAGTATTTCAGGAAAATAAGGTTTTCATCTACTCACACTTAATTTGGGGAGAAAAAGAACTGACCCAAATAATTGTTCAAACAGGTTTTCAGGTTATATCCTTTTGAATCATTGTTAGAGTAATTTTTCTCTGTCATAACATTTGCTAAGGAATTACCACTTCTTTGTGCTGATTTCACTTTAAAACAAGTAAAGAGTAAGAACATTCTTTTTTACATTGATATGCAAAGTCTTGGTATTTTTAAACCATTGTGAAACTATTGGAACTAATACACTAAATTGGTTTAAACCCAATAACACATTCAGTCAGGTTTAGGTGTCTTTGTGGCATGGACAGGGAATAAGACTTCAGAATAATTTAGTTTCCACTGTGCTTTACACAACTGGGGCACCTTAGTAAAGTTTCACTTCCCTCTTCTGGTAATGGTAGTTGCCCAACTTCTTCTTACCATAAACTTGGGTAATACTCCTGCTTTTTGGCTTTCCCAGGCCTCCTCTTTCCTCCCACAACCCTGGTACTATTTCATGGAACAAAAAAACCCCAACTTCTTTCTTCACTGGTGATTGCAGGTGATGTAGTTCACGTAACCAAGTTTAAAATACAGGTTTCTCAAAGGTCATAAAGAGAATAGTACCATAAAAAAAGAAAAAAGAGAAAATACAGTGAAAAGAAAGAAAAAAAAACCAAAGCAACACAATAAGCTTTGGACTAGCCAGGTCAAGCCAACATGAGATACAGATGGACAGCCATATAAACTGACTGACAGCATGAGAACACAGTTCAGAAATGTCACTTGAGTTCTGCTCTTGTCATAGTCGGGTAAAAAACAACAGTTCTTTAACCTTGCAAGAGAATGAGAGCACTGTGTGTGTGTGTGTGTGTGTGTGTGAATAGTGGGGGAAAAGGTAGAAAGAGACTTGATATAAATGCATGTCTGCTGTGAATAATTTCACAGGTGACTCTTATGGAGTAAGAGTGGAACAAAGCCATTTACAGGTTTTAAAAATCAGAAAGAACATCAACTCACCCTAGTCCTGGGGGTGTTCACATTTTCACCTGCTGTTTCCTGCAGACACCTCAAGTTCTGACACACACAGGGACCCCCCAGCCTTGTCTCTGTTGAGCACTGTCACTGTGTAAATGCCACCAGAATCTGTAACAAAGGCATTTCTCACTTTTGCTTTTTTCTCTTGATCTGAACATTCCCAGCATGTCTCATTGAATCTGAGGATGCTCCTGCTTTCTTTTTACTCCTGCTCACTTGCCAAGGGTGAAGCTGTTGGAATTCTTACCCACATCTTTCACTTCTGAGGGTGTCCTTACTACTAGGCTGCTCTTCCCCCTCTGATGAATTTAAGACAGACACAGTAAATGAAAGTTTTGAGCACTGAAATTTAACAAATACACACACACATATTCCCTCAAATAGCCTGCAGCCTTGTGCATCCTTCTGTGTTGTGGAAACTGTGGTACAAGTTGACAATGGGAAGCATCAGACCCCATTTGTAAAAGGAAGTCCCTTTGGGTTTGCCTACTGTAAATAACTGTGCACAGCAAAAGCTTCAACCCACAGAAGCGAGCAAGCAGAACCACACACAGAGACTCTGCTTTAATGTATGCAGTGGTAGCAGCCTTACACCACCCCCTCTCCATCCTAATTTAGTTCCCAAAATTTTGAACATGTTAAGTTTCAAAGTCCAATCCGTCTCTGCATTTACAGTGCTGTGTTAAGGACACCATCCAAGGCTCTTTTCTAAATACTACTGTCAGTAACAGAGCTGACACAGAAGTCATTAGTGCCGACCTAGCTACCCCCTTTAAAGAAATACCTCTTATCTTCTCGCTGGAAAATAGTATTTTCGTGACTAGATAATTTTGAAGGTGCCAGCAGGAATAGAGACCCCATCATTTAAATTCTAGAGCTCGTGTTGCTCTATTGTAGGGTAAGAAGAGCAGAAGGTCTTAAATTACAATTAACGTTGACAGGCTTAGGAAATGGTGCTCGGGCATTGTTTTCATTCCTGCGGATTCCTCTCCCTTGGCAGGTTCAAACAGCACGGTCACAGGATAAAGGTTTGTCCTAATTAACATTGTCCTAATAACATTTTGTTGACCTGTCTCTGCATCTTCCAGCTGACGTCAAAAATTCGAGAGGCAGCCTCTCGTTTGCCTCCGCAAACCCGAGTGCCCCTGACATTTCTGCCGTGCCAAACTGCACCTAAAAATCCGCCTGATGCCTGAGATTTTCCAGCTAACTGAGCTGAGACGTTTGGTCCCCCTCTTCTGTTGAGATTTAAATTGTCTGAAAGAAAAAGGGAGAACTGCAGCAGGCAGTGAACCAGGAGCTTTTTTTTTTTTTTCCTGCTGCATTTATTGATTGTCTGGAGCCCAGGTAATCCAGGAGAAAGCAAACACGGGCGCTGGGGAGCATTAGGCACAACCACGGTGGAACCATTAATAGGGCAGAGTGTCTGAGTGCTGGGGCTTATCCAAAGTGGCCCCTGTCACATGTCCACTTTAACTTTCCAGAACAGGTTTATATTTAGTAATGAGCACTGCAGGCAGATAAAATGGATGTAAAGGCGAAGTGCATTACGGTTACATCAGCTCTGGAGGTGAAGTGGTGACTCAGTGCGTGGATTGGAAAGGTCAGCTTCTACTCTCATTTGTATCTGTGCAGCTCCCCTGAAGCTGATGAACTGTGTAGGTGTTACATGAGAATATCACCCCCAAGTTTAATAATCTTATGTGACTGCATGAATCTGACAATGGTATTTACACTGACAGTCTGTGAGCCTTGCGTGAGACAGTTGCTCTGCACACTTATAATTTAAAAATACCTTCCCACACCATTTCACACTGAAGATTAACTCAGACTTTACTTATTTCCCCAAGAAATTATCTTAGTCACATTTCTAGAAGTGCCATATTAGAATTAGGTAATATGCCTGAGGTGAATATATATAAAAAAAATTAACTATTCTGTTGAAGAACAATGGTATTGATTTCTGTATCAAATATTACCTTCACTTAACCAGGTTATACAGTCTTTATCTATTAAGATGAAAGTTGTGTGATACACAGAGTTGTATCAAGGACATTTGATGTCAAACAAAGATCAGTGATTAATTTCCAAAGGGCTGCAAGTTCTGCTAAACTGAGATGGGACCCTTGGCAAAGGTGCTTTGTGGTTGGGATTTTGGTTTCTGGGGTTTTGGGTTTTGTTTTGTTGTACTTTATTTTTGGTTTTAAATACTGGGATCCAAACGAAGACACAGTATCAACAAGAAAATAGAATTGTAAGAGTTTACCTCCGCTCATGACCTTGTGAATCTGCCTTACACTATGATGAAGCTCACACATAATTTATTGGTTAATCATTAACTGTCTCTGTTGGCTCTTAAGTGATTGGCTTAAGACTTCTGGAGAGCATAAGCTAAAAAAAAAAAAACAAACCCACAAAACAATTAACACAGTGGAAAAGAAAAATACCCAAACAGATACATCTCCTTTTTGTGAAGAAAATGATAAAGAACATTTAAAGTATTTTTCTTATATAGTTAGTTCTGCTCTTTTTTAGGATTGAATTTTTTAACAAGGATTAAGTAACATCCAGCAGGACTGGGACTCTTTCAGTCCTAGAACTTTTAACACAGCTTTTCATGCAAATATCTGAATAAATGCACTTGAGGATGTCCCCAGATCCCATCTTCTGGTAAGAGTCCTTGTGACTCAGTCTTCATGCCATGTTATAAAATAACCACAGGGCTTTCTATCAACTGCAAATGGTCTCAGTAGTGCTAGTTAATTATTTTAG